TTATAGTTCATTGCTTATTATGTTTTTATTGTTAGGTATAAATATATCTATTGTACCACAATTCTACATTGTACGAACATCTCTATTTGACAGCCGATTTCAGCAAGAGCTCACGAAAATTTCGGAATCGCTTGACAGCCACGTGCTCACAATAACAACCAATTGAACTCATCGATATGAGCTTGGATCTGGATCCAGACAGGGTACGACTGGTTTGGATCAAAGTACTATGTAATTTGTTCGAGATCGTCTTTCAAGTCCCTTCAGTGAAGAAATTCCCCATGATCTGCTGTCACTCATCGTAATCCTTCCCTTGTTGGTGCCTTATTCANCGGTCGTGGACTATGAAAGATGCCATCGATATGAGCTTCATCGGCATTCTGGATCCAGACGTACGACTGGTTTGGAACAAAGTACTATGTAATGTTCGAGATCGTCTTTCAAGTCCCTTCAGTGAAGAAATTCCCCATGATCTGCTGTCACTCATCGTAATCTTTCCCTTGTTGGTGCCTTATTCACTTTTATAAGGTTTATAACTTTATTGATTTTATTGCACGGTATATCGACGGCCATTGCTACGAGTTCCCTTCGCAACATAGCCAGAAAAAATGCATTTTCATTATCACTGCAATAAATTAGAAAGATAAAGTTTTTTTCGTCAACAATTCGTTCTGGGGATGCGCCCCGCATTCCACTGACATTCAGAATTGTAACGATGGTTATATACGCAGTAGGACAATAAAATGACTTGCCGTGGCCAATCGATGCACAAGTCAGAGCTTTTCAGAGTCACAAGTCAGTCACAGCGGCTGAGATCATTCCACAAATACAAGTCTCAACATTAAGTGCAAAAGCGAGTTGCGATGCCTGTAATCGAACCCGGGCTTTGCAGGTGAGAGCCGCAAATCCTAACCACTAGACCACATTGGACTATGGCGTTTCACACTCTAAGACGAAAGTTATTGATAGGAGGAGAGCTGCTGATTCCCTGAACAGATTATTCCACGAAATTCAAATGAAAATCTGTATTGCAAAAAGGAACCCCGATGCCGGAAATCGAACGCGGGCTTTGTGCATGGGGGCCCCAGATCCTCACTGCTGAACCTTCAATGCTTATACACAACATGGTGATTTTTTTGAGTGTGAATATTACTATATACGGTTTTCGTTTGTGATAAATCCGTTGAAGCAACTTTTTGGGAAAGGTCTGAGCTTTTGTCATTTCCCTTGTTAATGTCCTTTGAAGGTGGACAAAAATTACTTTTCGTGATATCTTGCAGCGACATTTTTTCGAAGTTCTTGACAAAAAGATCAACAGTTGGACAGATAGACAATTTGAAGCCTTCAGGAGTTCTAAATTAATTCCTATTCTTGGAAAAAAACTGAATCACATTACCTNTTTTTTTTTGAGTGTGAATATAACTACATACGGTTTTCGTTTGTGATAAATCCGTTGAAGTAACTTTTTGGGAAAGGTCTAAGCTTTTGTCATTTCCCTTGTTAATGTCCTTTGAAGGTAGACAAAAATTAATTTTCATGATATCTTGCAGCGACATTTTTTCGAAGTTCTTGACAAAAAGATCAACAGTTGGACAGATGGACAATTTGAAGCCTTCAGGAGTTCTAAATTCATTCCTATTCTTGAAAAAAGACTAAATCACATTACCTATTTAGGGCAAGAAGATGTATGTGGACTGACGCGAGCAGACCGTATTCCCTGACTGGCACCTTTCGTTGTCATGGCATGGGTTATCTCCAGTTGTCTTGATTTCCTTTCCGCCTTCTTCTTCCACAGTACATGCTTAAAACATTAGTCTCAAGAAAAGTGTTATATGAAAGGGAAACAATTTGAAGAATGAAAATTACTGGAGTTTTGCCAATAACATTTCTTATACTGAAAGGAATCACTTATTTCGGATAGTGAATATAGCTGGTATTTCGCAGAAGAAACTTGAAAACGGCTGAATTTTGTTACTTCCTCGTGCATGCAAGGAAGAATAAATAAAATTATATTACGAACATCATTTGAGACGGCAGTTGCCTATATACAGCAAATGCCTTGGAATAAATGACACAATTTTCCATTAATACAACGATAGCAACTGTCAAACTATCAATCAAGTGATGTGAGTAGGCAGTGCAATGTAGCACAGGAAACACAAATGTGAAAAGTAAAGTGTGGGAAATAAAGAAGGAATTAAGGGATCGTCAAGTGGTCCGAACGAGGTTGAATGCTGCCACCCCGCCGTGTTCGTTGGTGGTAATCAATAGAGGTCAGATCAGCGTTGACCCCCCATTGCATTTTAAATGGTCTTCCTTCAAACAATTCAACAAATCTGGTGAAACATTCGACCCTGATGAACCTTTTTTTTTTGTTTTTCAGGCTTTGACGAAGGCGGCAAGGTCGAAAAGGTAACCAAATAAAAAGTTGTAGTGTTCTTGTAATCTGAGGCCTTACAAGGACACCCAATAGGCTTCACACAAAATGAATGGAAACATTAAGTGCGGTTTTCCCAATGGCCCAAGTTTCTTGAAAGCAATTCTGAGCTTGATACCGTGGGCCTCCTCCACCTGGACCTCACTTGAATATCCGTATTATAAAAATGAGAGGGGTCTTTCCTGTGTTTTTAGGAGAGAACCATGTGGAGAATCCTTTTTTGTGTTCAAAATTGCTTATATTTCATTTGTTTATTTCAAGTTGGCTTTGCCCTGACCAAATTACCATTCCGACTGTACTTCTGAAATTGCTCATTTTCCTCACCCATCATTTGTGGGTTGTGAATCGAGGGGTCACCCATAGACTTGCAACTATTCATTCATACTCATGATAATTTTGGATAGAAAACTCTTGTGAGACAGTGAAAAAGGCTTAAGTGTAGCGGGCTGGTTAATTCACCGAAAAATCCAACCGCCCTTCTGTCAGATCAGTATCTCCACGTGCTGCATTGTATTGATGTGTTAACGAAGATAGGCTCTTTTGAGGGTGTAAGGTAGTACTAACGTATCAACTTCGTTCCGTTCGTTCCTCAACTAATGAGCTTCCCTTTGGACTGTTAAGAAAATCATTGCTCACCCATTGATAGTATGCAATCCCACGTTTAGTATTCACGTAACACCTTGGAGACTGTACAGATGGCCTGCATTCGATCCAATCCCAATAGTATGCTCATTCATGGAGGTGGGGAATGCAAAATAGGACGAACGGTGATCAACAGCGCTTTATTCCGACTGATACGAATCGGAATTATTATACAATGTTGCAATTACTCATCGATTGCCGATCCTACCGATTTTTACAACCGCCGTTACTACTGTCGGAGATACGG